ATTTTTCTGCATTGGCGCTTCAGGCTGCGAAGGCTGTCATTAAACCAGGGAGTAGGGTTCACTGCAGGAACTGATCTGGTTCTGACAGGACAGATGTTGTCCAGAATGGAGAGGTAGTGCTCGTTGAACTGAGAAGTTAAGGAATCTGGGTCTTTATCAGAAGGACAGGGTGGATCAAAAGCAGCAGAAAAATTGCTAGCTGTGCTCTCATTAAGAAAACAAGAACTAACCATACGGCGAGCAGGAGGTGGGGACGCAGAAACTGACAAGTTAAAGAAAATGCAATGGTGATCTGAAATATAAACGTCCTCAGGACAAACACTGTCAGCATTTAGACTCAGTGTCAAAACAAGGTCCAGAGTGTGCCCCTGGTGTGTGTGGGGCCAGAAACATGCCCCAGCCGAAGGAGTCCATAAGGCTGGAGAAATTCATGGCAAAGAGATCGGAGGGATCATCAACGTGGATGTTAAAACCACCAACAATCACCAGTCTGGACAGCTTCACAGTGGAGGATAGAAAGTCACTAAACTCCTGAAGGAAAGAACTGTTTGGACCAGGTGGACGATAGACCACAGCACAGTAGAACGGGTCCTTACGTCCGACTTTAATCAGCTGCAGTTCAAAGGAAGCAGTGACCAGAGGTTGTAGAGCTACGTACATGGAAGATGGTCTCTGAAAACAACAGCTAGGCCTCCACCATGACCAGAACCCCGGGGCTGGCTAAGAAAAGAATAACCACTCAGGCAAAGTTCAGTCAGACCAGAATAATCAGATGTTTGCTGCCAAACTTCAGTCAGAAACAGAAAATTCAGGTTTTTAGAGAGAATTAGATCATTGAGCAGAAAGGACTTATTGTTAACAGAGTGGATATTTAATAGAGCCATGCTGAGTGAGGTGGAGGAATCAGAAACTACAGAAACAGCTGGAGTTAGTGGACGTAAATTAGCAGGGTTAGATCCACGGTGTTTATAAAAACCACTTATGGAGGGAACAGGAGGAGAAACCACTGAGAAATGAGGATAAACAGACCTTAAAAAACTTGGACGGAAAAAACTCTGGGCGGTGTGGCCAGCTGAAAGATTAAACTCTGATTACTGAAATGACCGTTTAGAGCAGAAGCACAGCAGTAAGATTCAACCTGAGCGGATAATCAAACAAGTGAAATTTTCTTTGGATTTGTTTAATTGTACATGAGCTCTTATGAGAGCTGAAGTATTATGGGGTGCCCTCATTAATGTGCTAACTTTTAAAACGTTGCACCTGAGTTTTTTTTTTTTTTTTTTTTTTGTGTTTGAAGGCAACTTCCTTTTTTATTATTTTCTATAGGGAGACAACATTGTAAGTAAATTTTTTATAGAGCGTTATATTCAAATATGCATTTTACTGTACATACTTAAATATGTAACCTATTGTATAGAGCTCCGGACGTCACGTGACTCTTAGAGAGTAGACGCCATGTTGGCAGGCAATAAAGGTAAACAAAATGAACGGGATTGGCTTGGATTTTACTCCGTCGGAGCTTACTTCACACTTTTTAAGACCGAATAAATCGTTTTATGTTTTATATAGTCAGAAATTAAATAGACTAAACAACTCCAACCCTAACCATGCCCCTGTGATACTTTTTAAAACGCCAGAAGCTGTCGGAGCGGACCTGTCCAGGGAACGCCTTGGGATTCCCCCGGAGGAGCTGGCCCAAGTGGCTGGGGAGAGGGAAGTCTGGGCCTCTCGACGAGGCTACTGCCCCCGCGACCCGACTCTGGATAAGCGGATGAAAATGGATGGATGGATTGACAAATAACAGATTTACATGCAAGAAGTTTAAATAGAGTGCTGTGCTGTTTGAATGTATAAACTGAACGCCAAGAGAAATCACTAGTCTGATTTTTTTCCGTGAATAAAATAAATATGTCAGGCAGGAGCATCTCAGGATCTGTCTGAGATCTGTCTCGGTGAGACAGATAATTACAATCCAAAGTGCTTTTCATGTGTGATCTGACAATTGATCAACCATTGCTTTAAAATGAAATGCAGCTTAGCCGGTTAATTGCTGTGATCATAAAACACGTAAACGGCAGCACGCAGAACTCACGAGGCAACGTTTTACGTGATGTTTACTTGCTGCTATGAGTAATAAGACAGAAAAAGCCACGCCAAAATAAGTTTAGGAAGCCCACTAAGAATCATAATAAAAGTAATTAAATAAATACCATACACAGTTGAGGAAACGTTGGTTTAAGTACCTGATATGAAGTGGTCGCTGCATAAGTGAAAACCTGTACTCTCGGGATCCCACAGCTTCATTTTAGCCCGGTCACTAGCACGTTTTATTGCAATGATCTAACGTTTGCGGTATCCCGCATCTTGGGGAATCCTGTAGATGGCTCATTCCTTATGTAGTCCGCATCTGTTCTGCATCCTGGGGCACAACAGGAATCTACCACATTTCCAGTTTGAGTTTTCTGACAATAGCCCAGCTGCGGGCTTCTGCCTGCCAAGATGGCGCAGTTTCGATTTGAACTGTTGCATGCTGGGAGAAGTGACGTCAACTCCCGGAGCTCTATATAAACTAATAATTGTTTTTGTTATGATTCCTCTCGTTATCTAGCATAGCTCACACCGAGTGGACGGAACCTCTCAGTTCTGTTGTTTTGTAAAAGGTGACCAAGACAATTAAGTTTCCATTTGTATATTAGTGTTCCCTAGCCTTTCTATATTAGTTGGCAGCTGCCCCACGAGTGTTATGCATTAAAACCGCAAATCATGAAATTAAACAGATGGAACTAACTAGCCCTAGCTGCTGTGCATGAGGAAAATAATGATGTGAAACTAGAGCCACCAGAGTCCCGTGACAGTAACCTGATATGGATACAGACCATCCTAAAGTCAGCTCACATTTCAATGTGTTCTGACTCACAGAAGCTAAACTGACAAATGTTTCCGGTGGCTCCAGGCGGGTTCAAGAAGAGCTGCTAATGCTTCCAGCGGCGCAGCAGCGAAGCCCCGAGACTTGAGCGACAAAACCGAGAGCCCCAGAGAACATTCCGAGACATTTCGGAAACTCCCTCATGACAACAGTGTCGGCCCACCAGGTTTATGTGTGGCAGCAGATGTCTCAGTAACTCACCCTCTGTTGTGCAGATGGAGACGTTTTATTAAAAGCTTTAAACGTTTTAATAAAACCTAAAAGCCATGGCCCCGGATCTCTCTGGTGGTTTCTTTGCTTCCCTCTGAGAAGCAGAGTTGGGCGGAAAATCTAAGGCATAGAGGTTTTCACGGAACCAAAATCCAATTTGGATTTTAAAACTAGTAAATATTTCATCCCTTTAAGCACCTTGTTCTTATTTTATGCATCTTTATTCTAAAGAAATAAGATTAGAAATTCATGAGAAAGCCTTAAAAGGCAATAAATCACATGATGTAAGAGACCCCTCCTCATATGACAGTAAGGCTGTATCCCCTGGTATCCTGTTAAGGAGACTGAACACCATTAAATGAGCCCTGGCCCAGCCTTAATCTCCACATATTGGTAAAGGTCATCTGTGGAGGAAGAACGCGTGTTAATTAGTCGTGATTTACGTGTAGAAATCTAAAAAGTTCCCTCGTGGTCACGAACATCAAGATCAAAGTTCTCCATTACACCGAGCGCTTCATCAGGCCTCTGGCGTCTTAAACAGGCTGCTGCTTCATCTCAGTTCATCGTGACAGTTAAAGGTGACTTGCTTCAGCCAGAACCACCGTTTCATTAGAACCTGAGATCAGGAACTCTGTGCAGCAGCTTTATTCAAATTACTTATTTATGATTGCAGCGGCATACCGATAAACTAAAAGGCCTTTCATCCATGCATGTTTCATAAACTCTTATTCTTCATACAGTTTGCACTTGAAGTCCTTTTTCTTTACTTAGCTCGTGCACTTTCATTGGAATATGCTGGTGTGACGGGAAAACATGCATCCTGTTAGTGTGCAATATTAGTTACTCCCGTAGAAATGAAAGGTGCATTTTCTCAAAACTCAATATGTAACATGTAACACTGATTCATGTAAGCTTCCATCAGTTTTTTTTGGAGCAAGTCAAACTGACAAAAAAAAGCAAAGATCGTTTTTTTTAAACGTTCACCAGTTCTGATTGGAAGATGACTTTGGGGGACACAAATGTCCTCATCAAAAGTGTTGCTGTTTACATTTAAGTCAGAAAAACTCCTTTCAGTGCACAGTTTGACCCACTTTATGACCAGAGTGTGTCAAACTTGAGTGTCAGTTCCTTATTCAACTTTTCCAGGTCCGGCTCAGAGCTGCAGCTGGAATGTGTGCAGAATGTGGTTTGGTATCATCCTGCTGAGAGAAGGGGGACAACGCTCTGCTCGGGACTCTCACAAAGCTTCATTTCCTCAGACTTCAGAAAACTTTTCCAGTTCAGCGTCAGGCCACAGAAGCTCAGATCCTTTTGGAGCTGGGTTTTAATTAGTGGTCATGAACAAAACAGTCACTTTTAATAATGACTTGGTTTCAGCTCTGGTACATGTACATTCATAAGTCCAGATGATTTGCTTTGATTACTGATTTTATTGATGATTAAACTCATGATTTGTAACTTTCCACTTGACCTTCTTGGGAGTTGACAGTCGGAGATGTTTGAGCATGTTCCCCACCAGCCTTTACAAAACATTTGGTTCTGTTGGGTTTGTTTTTAACGTGTTGTTGGTAAAGCAGCTTAAAGAGTCCAGAGTGTTTACTTGGTGCTAAACAGAATTTTTTTTAACAACCTCTTTAGAGGTCTGAAGACAACATGTTTGGGGTTCAGTTGGGTCCAATCAGTTGACCACTGTGAACATAGTCTCCTACCTGCAGATGTACAGCAGTCTGAATAAAAACTCATAATTATAATCCCTGGATTAATGCATCAGAACAACCCAGAGCAGCTCAACACTCATCTCCCTTCTAAAACCCCGGAAGGCTGCCCACCTGTGCCCGCTCTCTGGACCATTATGTGGACTTACCTTGTCCAGCTCGTCATGGAGCTCCGACAGGGTGGGTCTGACCAGTTTCTCCCCCAGCGGCGCCGCCGTCTGCCGGTAGAAATCGATCTTGGGCACTGCATCAATGGTGTTGTGCCCAAATGTCCTCAGGTAGTAGGTGTTGGTGTGAGTGTCATAGTGATAGTGATGCTGGCCCCCGGTGGATGAGTGCAGGCTAGTCTCGCTCATTACTGTGTCCCCGTTCTGTAATCCATCCGGCGGTGCAGCCTCGGGAGAGGCCGCGCCTCCAGCTCCACTCGGATCCGCGAAGTTCACAACTCGGAACCGGCCTTTGGCTTCCTCTCCTCCGGCCACCGCGCCTGTCCCCGGGCCTTCTGGCTCGGCAACGGAGCTGTCGGAGATCGGAGATTTCTCCTCAGAAGCGCCAGCAGCTTCAGACACTAGATCCACCTGAAAGCGGCTCTGGCTGGGCGTTGGACCGGGAAGCTTCTTCCCGGCATCTGGGGAGAGAAAATCATTCTCCGCCGGGGCGGAGAGCGCGGAGGATGGGTCCGACATAACTCTAAATGTGTTGACCGACCACGTTACGGGCCGACAAAACTCGGAAGAAAGTGTGGAGGCGCTTTGCTAGTAGCAGGAAAGAACACGCTGCTCTGCCTGAAGAGGAGCAGCCGAACAGCTGCTCAGATTTGAGAGGTTCCCACCACCCTTCCGCTTATCCCTTCGCGGCGGTAAATCCAAATTTCCCCGCTAACCTTCGCCTGCTCGCAGCCAGAACGGGCTCTGAGGTGTGTCGCTCAGGACGTGATGCTGCCGTCGACCTTGCCGCGGCTCCTCCTAGACTCACAGCTCTCCTCTGGCTGCTAATATATACACACACCGCGGACGGCACCGCAGGAGGGCGGGCTGAGCACACCGAGATCTCGCGAGACGTGACACACCTCTGTTTGCTGTGGCGCGACTGTGGAACAGAAATGTCGCGAGAAGACATCACTAAACTCAAACAGATGCGTGACGTAGTTTGGCTCCCTGCGAAAGGAAGATGGTGGCGACTTTAGGGATGGGGCAGAAGAGAGAGAATACATATTTAATCTAACAATGTATTGTTTTAAAATCGGACGGTTTGTCAAATGCTTAACCAGAAGAAATCTGAGACTTTATTCCACATAGTGTTTGAAGCATTAAGGTGAACTGGAGTTGGGTTCTAAACTTGCGGTGACAGCTCTGTTAGCAGAGCTCCCCCTCACAAAGACACACCCTGGAACAACTGCTACCAAACAAAGTTAGCACCGGATGGCCTTGGGATCAATCTGTACAGAACACAAATAACTCTGATTTCCTTCTTGCCAAAGAAATTCCCACAGTTCTAACTGCGCTGACAAAGTTAGATTTAAGCTTGCAGACTGGAGAGGCCTTTGAAAATTGCATTATGCATATTAGTGTTCCCTAGCCTTTCTGTTTATTAGGTAGCAGCTGCCCCACGAGTGTTATTGCGAATGTCCAAATACCTGGCTTGAATTTTACACTTATGTTGCACCTTGCCTCAAATAACATAAGACATACAAAACAAACAAAGATAAAACCTCTGGTCCTAGATCTTAATCTTCTTGTATGCTGGTAAGGTTTTCTTTAGTGTAGGTTGGTGTTTTTCCTGATGTCATACACCTTTTTACTCTTGTTTGTATATATTGTAAATTTAAACTAAGCTCACAAATGTCTTTGCATTTTAATTTCTTGTGTTTAAAGACACAAATAGTTCATTTTAAATAGTGTGACATGGAAGGAAGGTCATTTTATTTACTCCACTTATTTGACCTTTGACCTTATCATGTAAATTCACCTTACCTCACTCTGTTAAACAGCACCGTGTGATTTTACCGCAAAATATTAACATTTCGCTTTTTTAGATTTCACATTGTCAGAACTTAAAAGTTACGATGTTATTTTTGTAGTTAATTATTCGATAATTCAATTTTTTCATTTCTAATTTTTCTGGACGCACGTGCACATGTAAGGGAGCTAGTGACATGTTTAGGTGTAGCTCCGCCTCTTTCCCAGTGTCCATGAGACCCTAAATATGAATAAATATGTAGAGAAGAGAATGAATACATTCCAATGGATTTGAATTGGCTTTGAATTTGGAATCATTCTGAAATAAACTGGACTTTAAAATGACCTGGACCATTGTTACGGCTGCCAGCCTGGCCAGTGGGATGCATGAGCTAAGATTGTCCAGCCCTGGTGATCAAGCCTGACACCTCCCCTCCTCCTCCTCTCTTCCAGGCTGCTGGCTGAGGAGCACAGCTGAGCTGAATCCTGTTGATAATCCACACCTGGGATAAAAAGGCTGTACCTTCAGTGGTCTGGGAGGCAGCAGTTCATGGGTTCTGCTATCCTCCTTGGTTTGGTTTGGTTTGGTTTGGTTTGGTTTGGTTTGGTTTGGTTTGGTTTGGTTTGGTTTGAACACCTTCGTTTTGATGAGTTTTAACTTTAATAGTTTTAACTCTGAGTGATCCAAATGGATCTTTTGTTGATGTTGACTTGGTTGATTCTGTTTTAAGGTTAACATCGTAGTTTACTGACTTTGGGATTTTAAAACACTCAGTGTTTTCATAGTGCGTCGGTTTCATTATCAACTTGTGTATTTAAAGCACCTTCTGTTTTGGTAAAACTTTCAACACTTAACTTTTAACCAGGTGTTTTAATGTTGATAATTCGCCCTTTATATGTTAACCTTTTAGTCCCAATATTGTCTGTTTAGCATCATTTTAAAAACGCTCTCCATCTGTTTGCACTTGTTTTTACAACCTTTTACAACAATTAAACCCATTTTAACTCCACTGTCGCATTTCTTATGTTGCCCCCTCCTTCACATTTTAACACCTCCTGTCGGGGACGTAACATGCTACAGCACATTGAGCTAAATTGTAACCTCAGTAGTTTTATGGGCACAGAGCCAAAGACGTCTTTTACTGAAGACGAGATTTGTGTATGTGAAAACAAAACAGAATAACATTGGTGATCTTTTCAATAAGGACAGAAGTTGTTGCTCTTCAAACATTGAGGACTTTAGATTTACGCACCTGCTTTAGCTTTAGGAGCAATTGCAGCTCAGCTCTGTTGTGTCAACACATCAGCTGTTATATCGCACAGAATAATGGTTGCTGCCATTATTTACCCTGCAGCAAAGGAGTGTGTGTTATTAAAATGTTATCAGTGTTCAAACAAATGACACTGAGCTCTGACAACCAGTGAGAAGCTGACTGAAGATCAACAGCGGGCATGTCCGACCCTGGTCCTCCAGGGGCACCATCCTGCATCATGTAGAGGCTTGTCAGCATCAACACATCTGATTTTAATCAGTAGATGAATAACAGACTTCTGCAGAATTTGATGAAATGCTGAAAAGGTAATTCAACAATTGAATAATGTGGGTTGATAAGGAAAACAACTAAAACATTGTGAATAGGGGCCCTCAAAGACCAGGATTGGACACCACTGCCCTCGCACTCTGTAGCCTCCATATTGGGCCAAGTCATCATCATTGTCCACTACTCATTTTTCCTCTGACACCCCACAGCTGGTCCATGGTTTCAAAAGGTCTCAGTGTAGTCATTCTGACTTTGACTAACTTGTATTTGGCTGCTTTTAGCTTCCACGCTGCACACAGATGGAGTCCGCTTCCTCGTGACCTCAAATGTGCCCAATAGAAAATTTTAAATTCATCAGCCTTTGAATGCATGTTTCTTATGCTGCACCTTCTGCAATGTAATTGCTCAGCCTTTAACTTTGCCTTTTCATTTTTCATCTAATTTATTTGTGTATTTTAAATTTGATTTTAAAATCTGCTGTTTTAATGTTTCTTGCTCCAGGAAAGCACACTGAATTGCTTCTGTGTATGAAATGTTCTGTACAAATAAAAGTCATGCCTTTTATTATCGACCGAGTCAGATTTCAAAACAACAGGCTTGAATTTGGACCTGTATGATCTGATCTGGGCTTGTTGCTTTGAGACAACTTTTATTGTGACACTTATGTTTATTTTCCTCACAAATGCATTTAGCTGGAACAACTTACATTTGAACCTTTTTGTTTGACCTGAGAGGAAACTGGAGTACATGGAGAAAACCCACACGTGCATGAGGAGAACATGCTAACTCCACCATCTGTCATCATGCAGTCACTGTGACCTGGTGCTATGTAGATTTTTTTTGTTTTTCGGTCAACAACAATTTATCAATTTTACATAAAAGTAATCAAGCAACCGAAAAAAGGAATAGGTTGAAGCCTAGTAGCTTATAATTAGCCTATCCTTAACTCCCACAGAGATAATCAAATCCTTAACCAAGAGGGAAATATATATATAACTGAATTTAGTTCCTGTACATGAAGCATTTGATTAGCTTCAAAATATAATAAATACAAGACAAATCTAGGTGTGGAGGTAACGGTGGACCAGAGTTTAAACCTTATGTGTTTTAGCTCAGAAGAAGAGAAACGGCTCTGGTGTTCTAGGTGAAAACGTTACGGGCTAGATTTCTCTCCCTCTTTTAACAGCATGTGTTATCATCTCGTCCTGTATGTGCTCCAAGAGCTTCTCAGGCAGCTGTAATTTCCTGTGAGCTCCTGAAAGATAAACCTGCTTGTTATGAACAGCCTCGAGCTGAGCTTAGTTCAGACAGGTGCTGCAGGAGGAGCTCCTGTCTTCAGATTTAACCCCTCACTGCTACCCTGAAAAATCCAAAATTATATTTTAAATTCCCTCATTTGGTGCTTTCCTCTCCATAAATGTGAGTCTTCATGGTGTCTGATTGTTTATTTACAGGTTAATGTTGATTTTTTTTCTGGTATCATCCATTCTCACCCATTCAACCCCCCACCCCACCCCCACCACCACCACCACCACCACCACCAAAAAAAAAGCCCAGGGCGGAGACTCCTGCCATCTTGGGTTTGGTTCTCCTTTATGTCTTTTTGTTGAAAGGGCGATTTTCTTATTAGCTGTCACCCAAAGCTGCTGAACTGTTGAGCTTAATGCTACTGGTACGTCACGTTCCAAACACAGAGAGGGCTCTACAGACAACATGCTGACCTTTGACCTTTTGCTGGAGCATCTCTTATGTCAAACCCATTGGACTCCTGTCCTCATTTCCACAAAATCCTGTGGTAGTTTACATGTAATTCTGTGGTTATTTACTTTTCATTTAGTGGTTATAAACTTGGGATCCTGTCTGTGGTGATTTTCACAGAGTGATGTGATAAATCACCAGGGTAACACACACCTGCAGTCCCATTCTGTCTCGCTCTGAACTTGAGACAGTTATCCACACCTTCATCTCCTCACGCTTAGACTACTGTAACTCTCTTTTCACGTGTCTGAGCAGAACCTCCCTGAACCGTCTACAGGTGGTTCAGAACGCCTGTGCTCGGCTTCTGACCAAGTCCTCCAAACACACCCACATCACCCCGCTTCTCCTCCAGCTTCACTGGCTGCCAGTCAACTTCAGGGTTCATTTCAAGATCCTGGTTCTGGTCTATAGGGCCTTACATGGACAAGCACCATCTTACATTGGTGATCTTCTTAGTCCCTACACCCCCAGCAGGTCCCTGAGGTCCAGTGATCAAAGCCTATTGGTTGTGCAGCACCAGGCTAAAGACCAAAGGAGACAGATCATTTGCTGCTGTGGCCCCCAGACTCTGGAACTCTCTCCCCCTGAGCCTGAGATCAGTGGACTCAGTGGTCTGCTTCAAAAAGCAGCTGAAGACTCACTTGTTCAAGCTGGCTTTTGTATGACCTTCTTCACCACTCTCTCTTTATTCTGCTCTCACCACCTATTCCACCTTCCTCAGGATCCACTGATTTCCCTCTTTCC